GTGTGTGTGTGTGTATGTGTGTGTATGGCATTCAGCAGCGTGGGAAAAAGAACAAATGGCCAATGACTGCATTAAAACTAACACAATGCTGCAGGAAGAATGAGGAAAACAGCCAAACTGTCTCGTAAGCATCCGAGCTGTCAATGAGCCATGGCGGCGGATCACACCAAAGAAGGAAACGAGTGAAACCTGCATCACATTCTTCACGCCATTTCAAATACTTTGCCCTAAAAGACAACAAAATTTGGGAACTAACTTTTCATAAACTTCTCTTATACCTAAAAAGCATGTTTTGAAATCTAACAAAAAAGTGAGTGATTATGTCACAGCGGCTTCACTTTAAACCTAATTTTAGGGGTCGGAGGGAGGTCTGATAGACAGAATTAAACAAAAGTCGCATAGCTTAAAACACCAACATCCATTGCCTCTTGGCAGACTTTTCTCCGGATTATTTGTTCGGCAGAACTGTGCTTCAGTTTTTTGTAATGTGGCTACAAAAGCATCCTATCAGACTGATTCTCCCGGGATAGCTTGGAGGAGGGGGCCATGTGCTTTGGGTACCTGAGAATCCATTCTCTCTGTGACTGATGCGGCCAAAGCATCAACACAAGGGTGGAATGCTCCGTCCGGGACTCAACCGGGACAGATCTTTGCTTAATGTGTCTGGGATTTCATTCAGAAGTGACGGTAGCGCAGATGGACAGAATATTTGGTTAACATGTGTTCCAGGTGGTCACATGATTTGGCTAGTGACTGAAACAATGAACGCCTTGGCAGATAAGGTGAGCAGGTTCCGAGTCCAGGGGACTTGCATCGAAGAATCCACCAGGCACATTCAAGCGTTTCTATGACCAGACTTATTGAATATTTGAAAATAAAAGGACTAAATGTGTACTTTTCTGAACCTCTTCCACCACCCTGCGTGAATCAGCTGTGGTTAATGAAATCAGCTCTCTGGCATGCCTCACTGTAATTCCCACACACATTTCATCACAACAGTGTGTGAAGCAGGCAGCCAATGACAGCCGCATTTCCTTCACACTTCGATGAGCTACGGCTTGAGTGACGGTTGCGATGTGCGATTAGCAGCACCTCGATCTGCCCCACTTGGAATGGCAAGCATGTGGATCTGCCATTCCTCTCCCTGCCAGGAATGCGTGCCCTGCTGCAGAGTCTTGTGAAGGCTCCTACGATAAAACCAAGAGTCTTGGCCCGAACCACCGATCTAATCTGTGCAGAGGGGACCACTTGACCGTCCGCCCTGTCTCCGTGCGTTTCCGATGTTCTGGCCTTTACGAAACCCCCAGCCTGACCCACAGCTCCAGCTTCTCCTGATAATGATGATTAACCCATCCCGCTGAGTAGAGAGGGATTAAAGTAATCCCTCCAAGATATGAAGTTGAGAAGAAGACTGACATGCTGACGGGTCGGTCAGAAAACTCTTCTTATCGGCAGAAACGGAGCTGTGAGGGCCAGGTTCTGATGGGGTCGCATTCCCTCAAAACCAGTTTTGACATTTTCAAGAAAACGAAACCTAACCAGAAATGTGTCGTTAAAAGCAAATTCAACTGATGTCATGGAAGCTTGGTCCGACCGGAGTCATATTTGCATGTATTCAAAACCAGGCCTGCTCGCCTCATGTAATCTGAAACCCCGCTCACGCGGTCTGACTTTATCAGAGGAAGCACAGCAGAGCGTGATTCAGGTTAAACGCGCCACGCCTAGCCGTCCGTTCAGTCTTCAGTCCATTCATGAATCCAGACAGAGGTGTGCTGCAGCGCTGCCCGGCTCTCTGTGGGTGCGGCGCTGCCGTTCCCAGACATACCGGAGCACCTGGAGGCAGCGCAGTCAATCGAATGAGATTAGCATGCCTACTGTAGGCATTGTTTTAGATTTACTTTAAAGCCCACAGGCTTACACAAAAGAGAGGGAAGATAATGTAAGAGACTGTGCATAAAGTTCTGTCCTTTTACAGCTTGTTTCCATGGAGACTGATCGGAGAAGTTTGATTCATGCTAACTTAGAGTTTGACCTTTTTTCTGTACCTTTTTAAAAAAAAAAAAAAAGCCTTTTTACTCCCACATTTCAGTCAGTAGACTGGATATATCCAGTGCATGCTGGGATAGATGCCAGTTTAAAGTGAGCCAAAAAAAAAGAAAAAAAAAAGAATTGTGCTTCAGCCAAGGACTGTCAAAATCCCTCCAAATTTCCCCAACTTTCCTCCCACATACAGCATTAAAGCACAAAGGTTTATTGTGAAACCCAGTCTGATGTGTTAGCAGTGATCATGTTTGGTCTCGTTTACAGGAGGAGATCATGCTCCTTTCACCCAGTTAGGATGCTGGCCTGCCTGAGCAGAACAGGCAAAGCAACAGAACAGAACTAAACAGATCACAAACTGGGGCCGTAGCCCACCTTTGATAGTCAATCTTTATCTTTTAAAGGGCTGGTGAATTGAGAAATCAAAATGTGTCAAATGAGATGGCCCCCTTTGACTGGTTTACAGTGGCACCAGTGAGAGGATCAGATCTAACAGGAAGTGGGCTCTTTATCGTTCTCAGCTCATTCAGCTCTGAACACTACCCCAGCGTCAGCAGCATAAAGCCCCCCTCTATTCCCCTCTCTGTCCGCGGCCCAGCCTGGCTCGCATCACTTCCGACCGCGGGGGGGGGGGGGGGGATCGCCACAGAGGACCCTGTTCGCACCCTCCACCGGCCGCCTGCACGCAGAGAGGCTGCCAAACGCACCTTCAGGCCAAAAGTGAGCGGTGCAGCTGCAGGGTGGAGGAAGGTGGGAGGAAGACTGCTCCCCTCACCCTTCAGCTGGGTGAGGATGAGGCAGTCTGGGGAAGGCCTCCGCTGGATGAATGCGTCTTTTGTTCCACCTCTCTGCGTTGTTGCGCTGCACGTTGTGGAGACCATCTCCCTCAGAGTTCATAAGACCGAATTCTTCCGTCTGTTATGTTAAACACCCTTTGTCCACACACCCATGAGCTCCTGATAAGGGATCAAACAGCTGAGGGGTGGATGCAGGATGTCATGGAGGGCGTGGAGGAGATGGTACCACAATGGATTCCCTTTCTGTGTGTTTTTTCATTCACAGTGGTGAACGAGATGGTCCTCCATCTCGTTTGGAGGATGCCACGCGTGATGCCTCACTTTGGTTGGTGCTTAGATGCTTTAAATGTTACCCCATGTGGGCGCTCCTGAGAGCCTGCTTCCTCGTATGAGGAGATGGCATTTTTGCCTCTTCACCAGGATACTTCTTTTTTCTTTCAACTTCGACCTCTAGGCTTCATAGTAGACGCTATCAGACACTAATGTTTGAAATCTAAAGTTAAATGGTTCAAGACATTTCCAACTAATCATGTTCTTATTGGGTAATAAAAA